CAGCAGCTGGGAACTCAATCCAACTATTTATCTTTTATTCTTTTTACATGCCTTTCAGGGCTGATGGGGGACAGTTAAAAGTTAGCAGACTCAGGTCAGAAACCTTTACAGAAATGCTACTTTCAAACATTGTGTAAATATTTAAGGAAATGTACATGTGCACGTGAAGTATTTCAAACAGCAGCAATGTTAAAATGTTGATCACATGGGTTCAGATCTAGAGGAAGTATTTCACCCCCTAAATAGCAAAACCCACCTACAGGTCTGAAAGCTGTTTTATCTTCAAACCTCAAAAATTACATCATCTATCAGTCAGAAACTAAAAATTGTCAGATTTTCAACTTCCCAACAATCCTTAAAATAATCACTTATGAATTTGAGTTCTTTCAAGAAAAATGACAAAATCTAGGCTAAAATCTATATTTAATCACAAACACTATTTTACATGTCCAAAAAAAAGAAAGAGGCAAAAATTAACTGTTTTTACCAGATCCTGTAAAAAAAACAAAAAAACAAAAAGAAAAACGCTCTCAGCACAACCCAGACGACATGACTGACTCATCTGTGAACAATCAGTTGACAAAAATCCAGAGAGTTTTCAGTTGAAATGCAGGCTTTGTTTATACAGAACAGAGAGGAGACAAGAATGGGAATATATATATATGTATAAGCTGTAAAATATCTACATTATATAGAGGCTCCATGTTTTCCAGCATTAGGAACACCTGTGGGCATTTGGAAGAATGTTGTCCAGGTTGATTTCAGGCATTTCAATTTGTTTAAAATAAACCATCAAGAAAATTCTGCTTCTGTTTTCTCTTTTTTTTTTATGATTTACAGTGTTATATACACTACACCAGTGGAATACTCTGTACTTGTAGCTGTGTTATTTTCAAAGAGGTGCATTAAAAAGTGAGCCCACAATGAGTAAAGATGGAACAGGAGCAAAACTGCATCTCCTTTTGCAGTTGGGTGCAGGGTCAGCCATGATGGGGTGGCCTGGAATAGTGGGGTAATTGTTCAAGGGCTCAACAACAACAGGGGTTTCAACATCCAAGCTTCCGATCAGCAGCCCAGAGCCTCAACTGATCAGCCACCACCACCATAGAAAAGGCACTGCTGGGATTTGAACCCAGGATCTCCTGTTTACTAGACAGGCGCTTTAACCAACTAAGCCACAGCGCCATGAAAAGAAACACTGAAGGAGCTTGACTTGTCGCTTATGTTGAAGCACTGACAATGACATGATTAAAACTATTTGACTTTGTAGGGATTCTACATTTCAGAGGGAGTTTACCATTGTTCAGTTAATTATTTGTAAGATGTCATTTATCATCGACAGTCTTAGATGTCCCAAGGTTGTTGGTTTTTTTAGATCAGAAGAACACAGTGATGTTTGCAGAGCAGGTCAGTAGAACACAGATATGCATAATATCAAGTGACCAATGACTACACACTATGTGGACCTCCATATGAGCAAACCATTCACATTTTAAGACCACATCCAGCCATCAATATGAGAAGGTCATCAAGATGGAGGAAACCATGGGGAGAATTTTTGATTTGCAAATTACTGTCTACTGCTTGGTCTTTTTGACCACTGCTGTGTTTGGTGCTAATTATGCTTTTTTTTAAAAAATTTTTTTTTTAACTCAGCTTTGACAAATATTATGTGCCAAAATGAGGTCATCTACTCGACTTTCTTTCTTTCTTTGATTTTAACCTCTTGTAGGCCAGAACCTCATGGTCAAGTGGAAGATTCCTCATGATGGAACAGAAGGCCAGAAGGTTCCAAGAGTCATTTTATGTTAAATATGAAAATGCTGTGATAATAAAGGCAGTTTAGTTGTGAAAAAGGAGAGTCTTGGAGTTTTTCAGATTTTTGACTTGTTTTTCTGTTGAAACTGGACTGTTATAAATGCACAACTGAAATTATTATTGGGTTAAAACACTGACAGCAGATGTTTTTTTAAAAATTTATTTTATTTTTTTTAAACACAAGGCAGTTACTGCCAACAGAAAGATTTTTGGATATACAAATTACTCTCTACTGCTTGGTCTTTTGGACCAGGGCTATATTTGGTGTTTTTAATTCAATTTTGACAAATATTGTGTGCCAAAATGATGCCATCTGCTGGAGTTTTTATATCCTTTTTATGCCACCACCTCATGTCCAACTGGAAGATTCCTCTTTGTGGAGAACAAAAGGCTCCATGAGTCTTTCAGCTTGAACATGAACGTGCTGTGATAATAAAGGTTGTTTAATTATAAAAAAAAAACAGAAAAACAAAAACAACAGAGAGAGATTTTTCATTTTTCTGCCTTGATTTTTTATTTAAAATTGAAATTACATTGTTTTATATGCACAAATGAAATTATTATTGAGAAAAAACACTGACATTGTGTGTGTGTATGTGTTTTAAACACTTAATATAAAAAGAAAATTATAAAAAATGAAATCCCAACAGTAAGACTCTGTTTAGAAGCTTGGCACAACTTTATATTGAAAACGTTGCTGAGGATAAAAACTATAAATAAAAAGGGCAACATTATTTGCTCTAAAAGCATTTTTCTACTTTTCGTGTCAAGTTCCACAAAATCAGACACAATATTGTACCTGCCCTACAAGGCAGCTGCAGTGCCCTACAGCCATGAAGACACCACTACATAAAGCTCCACTCTGGATGTGAGGCTGCCCGTGAGCGATGAGCAAGAACCAGTAACCCCGAGGTCACCACCACTATTAAAGAAAATGTCACACTGACCTTGGATCAAAATTCTCCTCGTTTTTTTCTGCCATCAGCGACACCATTTGTCAGAGCGAGTGAAGTCAGTGTGAAGGTGCAACGTTGGTGCAGCTGCGATCGCAGCATTCAAAACCTCTTTACAGCACAAACTGGTTCGAGCACTGAACTGCTCTTTTTTTTTTTTTTTTTTTTTTAATAAAAGAAAAAAACAAAACAAACAACAACAATAAAAATAATTATACTCTTTTGTTTCTATGATCAACTTGCTTCTATTATCTTTTACAGGGTCAAGTGAGCCTGGAGCTTTTCCCAGAACACAACATCTGCAACTGCATGTGTGTGGCTCAAAACAACAAGCTCTGCAAACACACAACACCTGTTTAAAAATCTGTTTGAATACACTATTTGATTCTATTACTGACTTTTAAATCACTCTGTGGATCAGCAGTTGCACGGCATGCAATTAAAATACACTTTTAAAACAAACTGTAATTTGCCAAACTTAATGTTGAGTCAGTGATCTAAATGCAGCAGACCCAGTGAAAGCACATGTGAACGTCATCATCTCTTGAAGGAAGAGCACACTGTTCACCCTTGTAGTAGTAACTGTGCATTGCAGTCTTTTGTATTGTCAGTCAGTCAGACATCTAGCTGTTGTACTAAGGGGTGGATTATATTGTTGCCCTTTAAATCAACCTCAGGTGGAAGGTAAAGTATGCATGACGGGTTCAGGGTTTATGATGCTGGCAGACCAATACAGCAGGCTGAGATCAATGTTGTTGAGATGTTGGATCAAAAAGGCTGATTATTGGTTATTATTATTGATTATAAGCTCATGAGACCAATGAGCTCTTCAGAACTGTTGGTCAGGTTATCCCCAGTGTGTATAGTTTACATTCCCTCTCATTCATTTCATTTTTGATTGTTTTTATCTTTCAGTTTAATTTCGATTAATTTCTTCAATTTGACATCATTTTAAAATCTTGTTGTTTGTGTGCTTGTTAGTGTTTTACTGCTTTCACTTGAACTCTCTTTTTTTTCCATTTTGAATAATAATAATAAAAAAAAACTCTTTTCAACAACAGCACGAAATAAGCTACAGAGACCAAAAACACTTTTTTTTGCCAGGCTGTGAACATGTTTGTTTTTGCTGTAAAGTTGTGCCATTTTGCCATAGAGGTCCGTAGAGACTGACTCACTTTTCAGAGTCAGCTTCAACGGGACATTGGAGGAACTGCAGTTTGGGGTTTTTTTTCAGTTTCAGATTTTTTCCTGTTCCTGAGGTCACCGCTTAATTTGAAGGTATGTTCTACTTTTACTTGGGTAAATCTGTATTGTTAATCTTTAGTCTCAAGTGGAAAGCACTTTGGGGGAACCTTTGCAATTTCAAATGTGCTATATTTAAATAAGGGTTTCTTTGGGCGAAACATTGACTTGACACCAATCACTCTCTACAGACACTGAACGTACACTAAGCACGATGTGTTTGTGTTAGTCTTGTGCCTCTTCTCAAAAGTGTCCCAATCCGGTGTTACTGTATGACAGCTTTACATCAATCGCTGCTACTTCTATTAACAATAACATCGTTTTCCTCACTCATCTGTTGGACACAATCGTATGTTTGCAGCTGTGAGGGACAAACAATGTGTTCACTGTATGTATGTGAAGATTAAATGCTGCTATTGATTCAGGATTGCAACCATATGA